TGAGAATTTCTCTTCAAGATTCAAACAACTCGACACTTCTAAACGATGCGTAAATTTCTCAAATTTTCGGTAAAGAAAATTTCGAGCAGTTTTAGTCCTTTCGTTGCTTACCTTTTATCAAAGGATCTAACAGGATTTTCGCTTTACAATTTCAGAAATTTCAGTCAGTTAAAAGCACTTTCAAATGCTGAATAAATTACCACAATTTTCGATGAAGAAACGTTTATAAACGATTTAAACCTTAGAATTTAAAACCGACAATATTTCCTGATACTTAATCGTCTCCAAAGGATCCAAAGTATTTAACGAGATTTCCGTTTCATGATTCAAAAAAGTTGCAGATTAATTAAACCACTTTGAAATATCGAGTGTCTATAATTTTTTACGAAGAAAGTATAAAGTAATTTTAATCCTTGGAGATATCGGTAATTTCTTCCTGCTGTTCCAACTTCTTGGACAGGCCCAAAGAATTCGAGGAGTCTGACGCTTCAAGATTCAAAGAAGTTGACGATTATTCTTTCTTCTAGTCAAGACAGGTTTCTTCCTGTTGCTTAATATTCTTCGAAGGATCAAAAGAATCTATCAGACTTCCTCATCGAGATTCAAAGAACTCGAATATTAATTAACGCTTTCCAGTGTCGAATAAATATCTATGATTTTCTGGTTCCTTCGACCACGATAAAAATTCGAGTAATTTCAATTCTTCGAGTTTCTTCCTTTTTGTCTTTTTTACAAGATATAGAAGATGTGATCGCTCTTCGAGTTCTTATTTCAAAATTCGTAAAGGTTCGGACAAGAAATCTTTCAGACAAGCTCGTAGAATTTTATAATCGCAAGTTGGATGCATCGATCAATCAAACGTCGTCGAGAAAACTTGCAAGTAATTCGTTTCAATCCTTCCAGTTAAGAACAAGTACTTTCAGTTACTGCGGTTTCCTCGAATTATTCAAAATATACAGCTGTCCCTCGAGAACGTTGAGAATTAATTAGCAAAGCTCCGAAATGGTCGATAAACAAGAAAACGTCCGTGTTCGACTCCCAAGCGATGTCTTCGATCCAGCGACTTCGAGATTACCGATCTCTTCGCCTTCTTCTCGGCTAAGCGAGGACCTTATTCGAACTTACACTCGGACATTAAAAACCTTCCTCGACTAACCGTGAAATCGAGCGTCGTCGTTTTCGATTGGTCCGTTCGATCTTTTCGGACGAAGATCGAAGGATTTCGGGATCGAAATGGACGCGTGCAGCTCGATAGAACGCCGTTGCATAGAATGTAAGACCACTGAACGTAAATCGCGGAAGCTGCAGGCTTAAGTAACTCCTCGGGAACGAGAGAAGCGTCGCGATGCGAAACGGATTGGAAAAAAAGCAGAAGCAGCACGCGATTTGCAGAGCACGATTCCGATGACGACCACTGACTGAGCGGCGAAGCATCAGGAACTCGCGACCGAGAGGCGGAAGAAAGGAGGAAGAGAAAGGTGGTGGATGCCGTTCCGGGGCGCCTGCGCTACCAATTTTACACATGGTCTACGAGCACGTTATAGCCACCCCCGAGCAACCCCTACCAACCAAACTGGATGGCTGGCCTACCAGCTAACGGGCTGCGTACCCTTACGCGGGTACGAACCTCCTTCAAAAAATCCATTCAAACAGAACATTTATGTATCGAGAAAAATTCCCTCTTGTTCCTCCATCGACTAGCCGCTGATTCGCTTCACGATTCTTATAAATGTATCATTTAACGCATCGAAAGATGACCTATTTGTTATCCGTTAATTGGCAATCGGGTTGTTAAACACAGACATTATTTCGTCGGTACTGAAAACTTCCAATAATTTCTCATTCTCATAGCCTCGTCCATTGTGATGTAAAGAGTGCCCTTTGTACATTCGGAAACAATGTAATTTTCCTCTGTATAAGGATCCTCGGTTCCCTTAAAAAATTCTGAATTCATTGGCCAATCTTCGGATCCCCAGAGTCCCTAAACGAAGGGCTTCTTTTCCTTTGGTCGGGAAGCCAGATTTGCTCCTGACTGTACGCAGAAATCGGCAGAGAATCCGTACGACAGAATGCGTGTAGAGGCGAGAGAAGTAGGAAAGGGTCGTTGTCGTTTGATGGTAGTTATATCTGTAAATGGTTGGGACGGCAATTGAGCACGTCGAGTGTCCGTTGGCCGATTGCGCTGATCTTTCGGTTTGTAATTTATTGCCGGGAATTCGAAGCGGTCCTCGTTGGATGTTTCGTGGATGTTTGCGTCCTAGCCAGCCAAATTTTCCGCGTTACGTAAGCGTGTTTATGCGACCGTTTGCAGGCTCGAACGATCGAGGCAATGGGACAATCATTTCTACGGGCTCGGGATTTCGCGATCGAATCTGCTCTAATTAAACCGATTTTATGCCCGGAGAATATGATATAAAGCGACGGTTCTCAACTCTACGCCCGCGAATAGAAACTGCTTACACACACCGGTTAGCAATTTGGGAATTTCGGAGTTTCGACGTTTCGAGACACGAGAATTTCAACATTTGAAAATATTGTTAATCGTAAAAGCAAACTGACCTCGGAATTAAACGCTCGCAAAGCGATAAAGAGTTTTTCGATTAATTTTAAATTAATCACGGTAAATTTCCCGTGTCCACGCTATACAACCATTTTCAAAAATACCGTATACATGAATTAATAAAAATTACTTTTCACCAACGTGACGAGGTTATAATTTATCGTGCGTTTTTCCATTTTCCCGACGAATTGTCCGTGTAAAAATTATATAAAATAACGATAAATAAAAACGCAAGTGCAGAACACTGATACATTAATTTACTTTAATCAACGTTTGTTTCACGAATCGAGCGACACACGGTCTCATGAATGTTACCTGGCCGTTATGTCGCAGCTTTGCGTTTTGGTACCGTGCTATGCAACGGGAAAAAAACGCGTTTGAATAAAGCTTTAGCAAATGCGCATGGATTTGCGCGTGAACCTTTCATCTACCACGATCAACAATAAATTGCATCGTGACATATTTACGTTGCTACTTGTTTAACGCAATGTACGATAACGATTGGAACAATTTATCGGTGACACATTTTTCCTGACGTTTTATTTTCCGGTAATAAATACAATATGACACTGTTTGTGCGTTTGACGTTCGCTAGAAAGACAGGTGTCATTGTTCGTTTCTTGTCTTACAAATTTTTGCAATACAGTGTTTTCATGTAAATGATCAATCTCAGATGATCGATAATATATAGGATGATAACTATGTTACAAAACGATATTCCCGAATCGAGTAATTGGAAGGGACAAATATTTTTTAAATGAGATTATATACTAGTATGGTCATTGTGAAACATTGTGTGACAATCGATACATGTGTGCAATTAAATACTTCGTTATTATAAATAAACACCCCGATCGCTAAAACACTGACAATAGATGTATGTTGATCTCTCAGTAGTAACACTTTCTAAAGAGAAAAGTACAAAAGATTAGCGCCGGCGTACACGATGCATTCGTATTTTTTTATTCGTCAACATATGCTTTCTTTCCTGCAGAATACTGAAAACACGTTTTATCGATCATATAGAAATGATACGGGGAACCTAACGTATTCCGAGCGCCGACAGTGCTTGTCAAGCGGGAGATAATACGTATACAGCAATTGGCCCTGATTCGAGGAGTGTCACTAGCCAACTCTGCGTTATTATTCCTGTCATTTACATTCGCGTATTCGTCCTTTTCAACATTGCTACAAGATATCGAATTAACGCGTGTCCTATTGAACGGCCTCGCTTTTCCAGTCGACCGAAATATAGATACGAAACGAGGAAACACTGTTGAGATTATTCGAATAAAAGTGGAACGTTGCAATGTCTATTAAATATTCTGCGTTGGGCCGTTAATACGCAAACAAATGAACGAATGAATTATAAATGAATTCTTTTTTTACGTAATACAGAGTAAGATGTGTAACTTTTAAGAGATAAGAGAGAAAATGTAGTAGATTTCCATGCATTTAAAGGAGGATAAAACACAAAAAAAAACACTTTTTAATAGGTGGGACTGCAAGACTGTCATGCAATTCAAATCACATTCGCTATTTCCCTTGCGTAGTCCTCGGTTTAAAAACTCTTTACCCGTCACCTCGTACCTTTTACTACTCTATAAAACTACATCCTCGCGTCCTAAAAGCTCGCTACTGAAACGTCATTCGGCGAACGCGAGTCGAGGGCACGAATCTTTAATGAAACCGAAGAACTGAAGGCGTTGCTTTAAATCGTCGATGCGAATTCAATGAAAGAGAACGGTTTAACTCGCAGCCAACATCCAACCCGCACTCGTTGATTCAAAGATTCGCGAACGTAGCAATCATCGAATTACAAGCATCTCTCGTCTGCCTCCCGCGAGAATTTCTTAACGATGAAAACATCGATTTTGTTCCAGCGGGAAAATGGAGCTCGCTTATCGATCATTAACTTTATGAAATTAATGATCTATTGTAATCGTTTCGAAGTACGACGGACTCTCGTTATATTGCCAGTTAAACGAAATCCTGGTCGTGCTAGGAGATACACGTTGGTACGAATTTTTAAAAAGCGTTCAACAAATTTTCATGGAAATAACTAACTGAAATTGAAATTAAGAAGAAGAGGAAAGACAACGGCGATTAAATTGAAATTACAAAGATACATTGACCGATCTGGAATCCAGACAAAACAGCTTCTTCGAAAGAAAGTTCGCTGGATTTTTAAAAATAACTTCACCTACAGAAGAAGCTTTCTTGATCCTATTCCAAGTTGATAGCACTTCTCGATTTACCGTTTCGCCCATTCGGTCGCTAATGGAACGGATTGTTCCAAAACGAGGATGGTGAGAAATCGTTAATGGAAGAGAGAAAAAAAATAAGTGACAAGAAGAAGAAAAGAGGAAATATGTGTTACGATTATCATGTTTTAGCTTACTGGGTTACGTTGAATCGTGAAAATAAAATGGATGCGTACCTCTCCATCGCCGTCGTAGTAGACGAGGTAGCGTCTGGTCAGAACGAACCAGCGTTGTTTGTAGTTGACGGGAGTGAAACGTTTCTTATTTTGAGAACGTTTCACCATGAACCCCTGCCTCACCACGTCTCCGCTTTTTGGCTCCACCTTCCCATCTTTCCCCGCCATCACCGACGGAGGGCCACCCTGTTCGCAAAAAATAATAGAGCTTTTAAAACTTTCACGGACTAATGTGTTATATTATGTGCGGTATCGAGCAAGGTAAGCTTCCCTGGGGAAATCGTAAGGGAGCAAGGTTTTACTACTCGCTATAATACTCGACAGTTACCTCGCATAATACATACTTTAGCTACGTTTCAACGAGGGATTTCGGAGAAATTTTCAAATTTCCGAATTCCCAAACGTCCAAATACTCGAGATGTTAAGTGTCTTAAATTTGAAAATTTAAAAAACCAATGAAAAAATGTTGACTCAGGAAAGACTATGGCCTCTTTTTCTTGTTCAATAGTCTGCCTTGTTGGGTACTCGCGTAGGCGGTATTTCTACAGATATCGTTAGGAGATATTACCGTGTAGTGATTGAAATGTTTCATTCTATGTTTCTTTCGAGTAACTTCGAGCGTTCCTCTTCGAGAACTCGAGATTCTCGGCTAACTTCATTACGCGAAGAGCAATTACGCGAGTACTCGGATGAACTTTCAATTATCTCCATAGTTCGAATTTCTGTCGGTCAGTCTATAAGATCTCGCTATCCGCCTCTCTCCACCCCTCTTTTCTTTATTAGATTTTCTTCGATCCCATTCTTTTAACCCTCTACCTTATGATATTCTCAGCAATTACATTTGTTATCGCTGTACCATTCGCCTCTTTGCTTCGCCACAAATTATAACTGCAGCTTAACATTCAACTGTTATACAAATACGCGTGGCTCGACGTTATAAGACGTTGACTTATTAGTAATAATTATGAAAAGACCCGTTTCTGATTTATTACATTGAAAGGAAAAAAGAAGAAATGGCACACAAAAATATTAAAATATTTGAATACAAAAACATGAGGTAATTAATATTTGAAAGCGTTCCACATTATAATGTATACTTGATATGACTAATATAGGCTAGAAGATTAAGACTTCCCCGTCAAATTCCGCAATGACTCATGAAGAAAGAATTTCCGTTTAGAATAGACGACTTCCAACCTTCGACTAAGGTTCTCACGGGGCAACCTTAAGCCACTATCATTGCTGTAACGAAATTTAAAAACAAATTAACCTATGAAAAACTCTAATGTTCTATCAATTATAAAATGATCCTTTCGTGACAAATCATATAACTATATAAAACACAGACATAATAATTAACCTTTTGTTGTATCGTGAATCAAATTTACTTTGTAACAAAAATTTATTTCGAAATAAAAACATAATTATTCGTAAAAACAGAATCGATTTCACATCGTTTCTAATTAAATATTTAAGATTTGTTACAAACTTAAAAACTATAATGTGAGATGGACTTTGTGCATCATTGATTTCAATGCTTAATTCGTTTATATTTTTAATAATTGATCATATACGAGTGCACAAACAAATTTTCATAAATGAATCGTTTTAATCTACAAAATGTACCTTTTCCGTTTTCCGTCGAAATGTAGCGATGAAACGGTATTATTTATTGCATCCATACTGTTGGATTTTGCAGTAGAAAAAACCGCGAAACGTCCTTGATGCCACTCAATTTCTTCAAACTCTTGCTCGCAAAACATCCTCGACCCAGCGCATGTTTTTCGAAACACTTTCGGTCCATTTACAAATGAAAATTTACTGTCCCAGAACTTTTGCCGCGTTCGTTGACGATTCAACTGTGTTTCCATTGAATATTTGTCGCAACCGAAAAAACACGGATTCGACGTTAAAACCGCATCGACGCTAAATCGTAAACATAGGCGCACGTTTAATACGCGTCTAACCCGCCGTCGAGGATTCGAAGCTAAAACGAACGCATTACGCATGCGCAGTCCTTGTTTGTGCGCATGCGTAATCAAGAAGAAAATACGTTTGCGCGTGTGCGTGCACCAACTTCCGAACGACGTTCTCGAAGGATTAGGAGAAAAATTTTCTACACGAGATGACACTACTTTTTCTGAGAAATAAATACCCAAACTTGCGCAAATAAATAAAATAAATGTTTACAAGATAATGAGTCAAATTATGCAAAAACTTATCAATCTTCAAAATAACAAAAAATTAATTCAATGCAAGACGGACTCCATAATTTCGTAATCGACAATGATAACTTTCTGCATAATTTACATAATTAAGTGTAGGGATGCGTTTAAAATCTAATGTCGCATTGAATCACATTGATTCGCGTCAAGTAATACTGAATCAAATCGAACTGAATTGAATCGCGCCAAATCAAACCGCGTCGAATTGAATCGCAAGTTGGGTGGCTAGTTTCAGATAGAATTGAGTCGAATTGCGTTAAGCCGAAACGTCGATTAGTTTAATAAAAAATACGTTTTTCATGAATTTTCAAAATCAATCTACATTCACCCCCATTTGTGTTATATTCAATTTGTTTTTTAAATGTGCACTGTACAAATAAAAACCGATTTCTGTTAAAAACAATTGAGAAAATTATTTTTTATTTAAAATTTTAATAATAAAAATTATGCACATATAACGGTACCTATGAAACGTATTTAGTTAACGAATGTTGATCGAATGTGAAATGCGTTAATTAAAGTTCGATATGAAAATGCGGTAAAGTATTAACGATCGAATACTTGACGTAAACTACCGCAAAGGCATTGTATATTATAAATTTCTATTTCCCGTATTTTCCGTAATTATCAGCTATAAAAAAAACAAAAAGTGAATGAAAAAAATGTGAAATTGTTTCATTACTCAGAATTTTAATGCTAAATAAAAATTCTTGATAATATCATTAAGCATCATAGTAACCCTATCCTACAGTCTGATTTTTCAATATTTATTTTTACCAAAAATAAGGTATAATGTAAGAAGAAGTACAAGAATGATACACATCTATAGAAAGAAGTGTGGTATTATGTTAAAACTAAATTCTTATTGTCATCTATGTTGCGCTAAATAAATTTCACAGCCGAAGGATTACCTTGCAAGGACTTGCGAAGGATTATACTAAGAATTAGAAGAATGAACATAAATCTATATACATGTGTAAATATGAATGTGTTGTTCTTACATATAATTACTAAATATAACAGGTCAACACATGGGTAAATGGTAAAATATTATCACATTATAAAATATGTACATTTTAAGCTTTAAGAATTATATGTGAAATTTAATATAAAAATAGTACAAAATATATTTTATAGAAATAGGTGAACAGCGAAAAGAGAAAGTAATGATGATAACGAAGGGAATAAAGAAATTAAACAATGTTAAATATTCTAAATTAATACAATCATACAAAGCTTGATACTAATAACATTGTGATATATAATACTGTTTAAAACAGTATTATAATCGTATATATATATTATGGAAACCACAGACGATACATATTATATCAATATGTATTAATACTCCAAGATTTTCAATATCTACTAATAAAGTACATTGAGAATCAGTTTCAAAAATATATAAATCTGTAGATTTGAAGGTTTAAAGATTTAGAGATTAGAAAATTGGAGAATTTGGATTTTAAAAATTTAAAATTTAGGAGTTTAGGATACAAAGATTTGCACATTTGGAAAATTGGGAATTTAAAAATTTTATAATTTGGTATTTGAGAACTTGAGAATTGAAAGTCAAAGTTTATTAATAGTACTGAAATATTAACAATATTGTATTGACAATATATATTAATCATTTGAGGTCTCCACTAAAATATATTTTCAGCTTCAACAATAAAGCTTTTCATTGTTTTATATGATATTTTATAACAACAATCAAAATCTACATAAATTCAGTGCAAACTCTAAATTAAATTCTGTTCTTTGCTTTGTTTATGATTCTGGATTTTTTTTAAATCCCAAATAATTGTGTGAACTATGAAAATCGAAGAAAATTGGAAAGAAAATATCACCACAATGTTCCTTTCAAAATTCCCAAAAATAACAGAGTGGCAAGATTAACGACAACGCGGTAGTTTGTGGTTATCTTGACACCCGTTTAAACGATTATTTCTAGATAAAAGTTTAGGGTGAATAATATTTAGAAGATCAAGATTCATAACGGAAAGTCAACTTACCATATACTAGGGTACTGCTACCACCTCACAATTTCAATGCTTGTCAGAAACATGACCGGTGCCCAAACAAAGAATTCACGTGGAACGAACGCATACACACACCGACAATCTGTCAAACGAAGACGTTGGAAATTCACAAGATAGCAGGAAATACCTCACTACGTTAGTAGAGCATTTATCCGAAATCTCGCAAAACTAGTATTTCATTTTTCCAAACGAAAAACAAACGATGTGCACTAATTAATCTTCTCGATTTGGTGGTTAAACAACGAAAAATCCTTGATTCCAGTTCGACGTCCTACCCGCATTAAACGTATTAACTGACCAGTAGAGAATACCTGTTGACTCATTTTAAAAAAACAAGATGGCGGACACGAAGACTATGTTGTGTTGTTTTGTTTTAGTTCAACGATATTTAGTTTTAGTAAATTTGTATTGAAGATTTCGAAGAAAGTGTAAATGAGTTTTGTGACTGATTTTATGGTTTGAAATTGGACAACCATTAATCGTCGTTAATAAGTACTGAAAAATCGATATAACTTAGCCTAATGTATAACATCAAGTGAGGTTAGATTTAGGCTGCAATTTTATAACGCACGAACGTTATATTTTTTGTTACATTATAAAATATTATTGTTAATGATTATGGATGTTGAGTTATTAAGATACAAATTAGAAAAAAAATAAGGAACGGCTACGCGCGAAATTACGGACCTGCGCACTAGAATCAATGCTCCACAGAGTTTGGCAACAGTTTCCTCTACTCAAACTTAACCTACTATATTAGCTATAAAACGTATAGTTCGGCTAAAAAATTATACATCATATTATCTTATGGACACTGATACTGAATATCAAAAATGGCAGCACCCGAAGCAATACAAGTTAGTTCGCTACCTTTGCCTCCGGTTCAGTACATAAATTTGTACACGGACGAAAATGTTCGTCGAGGTAGAGCACCTCGGCCACCGCCTCCGATACATGACACTTATTCAATGTTTGGAAATGTATTTAACGCGGATGATACGATTATTCGACCCCTCGAAGCACAAGGAATTAAAAGGTTATATCCTCAGCATTTTGACCGACGACGGGAATTGAAGAAACTGAACCATTCCTTACTTGTTAACTTTTTAGATTTGATAGATTTACTTGTACAATGTCCTGATAGTCCAAGACGTGCTGAAAAAGTAAGTATTTATTAATCTTCATTTATGGTTATTGTATAAACTCTTTATTTTTGTTATTATTTATAGGTGGAAGATCTTAGTTTACTATTCATTCATATTCATCACTTACTGAATGAATTCAGACCGCATCAAGCTAGAGAAACGTTACGAGTCATGATGGAATTACAACGCAGACAACGTATTGAAACTGCCCTTAGATTTCAGAAACATTTAGAAAAGGTATATTTATAGAATAAAACTGTATCCTTATTCAAATAGCAACAGGCAAATATTTGTTGATGCGCATGTTTCTTAAAAGAGTCATCATCTCTTGCTGAATATTTTCCACATTGTGGGTTTTTGTTATCAATATAAAAGAAAAATATGTTCCTTCAATCAGGAAGTCTGCATATTATTGTATTAAAATATCAAGATAAAATATCAAATATGAGGATTAAGTCCTCAATTACCATTCAAAATAAAGGAAATTTATATATTTGCATATGGGACAACTTATTACTAAATGGATAGTTGGTTGCTACTATACCTATAGCTTTAAAAATAAAATAAAATTCAATTGTTTGTTGGATTTCAGTGTGTACAAAATGTTCCTATGAGATTGTATTTTTTTAACATCTTTTGAAACTTGCAGCAATAATGAGAAGTTTCTTGTTTCTTCTTTATTAAGAACATTGCTTGAGCTGTATTAATTTTGAAACATATTTTTTAATGCAATAGATTAATAGTTGATTATAATTTTTAAAACTTTATTTTAGGTTCAAGAAATTTTGCAACATGCATTACAAATGCTACCTGATACTTCAGAACTGGATTCAAAACTAGCAATAAATACAGACGCTATGGAGTCTGTTGATAATTTAGGTTCTGAACAGCACACACCTGATCCATGTAGTCCTAGTGATCGTATTATGTGTAAAGTTATAGATGATATGATTTCAACAAATGGACTATTTTAAATAATGAAATATTTATATATTGTCAATTTCATCCTGTAAAAATAATTGTAATTATAGATGTAACATGCATTGTGATGATAATTCTAAAACCGTGACTGGTTTATTTATTAAATAATGGAAAGGAATAATTTTTGCAGTTTATTTCAGTTTTATATTGTATTAATTAAAGAAACACAATATAATCTAGAATGATACATTTTATTAATGATATAATAATAAATTTAATAAAGCAATGTTTACATACTTCAAATAATAATAAACATAAATATTTTTAGAACATTACAATATGTTAATACATATAAAGGAGTTTTTGTATAATCATATAATGGAGAAATAGATATTACAAAACATTTGTATAAAATATTAATTTGAAATCTATATATATATAAATTTTGAATAATCATGAAATCATACATTTTATAATTATCTATGTATAGAAACATTTCACGTTATTGGGCATAAAAAATACAACATATATTATGCAATACTAGTATTTATTAAATTAAAACGGTAATATATTCAGTTGTTATTATTACAGAAATTTTGTTTAATGGTGGATAGGAAGAGGACACAATTTATTTATTAAACTCACCTTATAAGACAGCTACCATCAATATATAATTAAAATATAATAGACAACTGTGCAACAGGTCCTGAAAAAAAGAAAATGTATCATATTTTCTCCGTATCATCCCTCTTGAGAAACCTCTGGAAAATCTGTAATCAAAAAATGATTATTTTTAATCTGCTTTCCCTCTCTCAGGTCATCAGTAAATATGCAGCATCTGGAAAATAGAAATTATATGATAACAATATAATTCATTATAACATAGTCAAAGAAACTTTTAGACTTGTAAATTATTTAATTAAAATATTCAGAGCAAATGAACTTTATGTACAATTTGAACTTAACTATATAAGTACATAGTAAACTTTAATTTAAATTTTGTGTACTTTTGATTAAGAAAATGATATAACTACACAATAGTTACAAGAATTTGAAATAATTTATACAAACAATAAATTATATACAAATAAAAGAATACAAGTTCACGAATTCCGTTAACTTATAACTGACAAAATACAAAAGAAGAATAGTCTTCAAGTTTCTTTGATTTAATTATCCTTTTGAAATGAAATGTCCTGGATACTATCCACCGAACAGCTCTGGTCCTCATTTCCTGTTGACAAAAGAAATGAAGTTGAATCAAGTAGGAGGAGTAGGAGGTGTAGGAGAAACCAGGAGATAAGGAAATACATTTTGATACTATTTTAACATCCACACTTATTGTAGTAGAGAAAAATTGTTTGTCTTCGCAAATATTTGTAACACCAATGTCCACATAATAGCACAAACCAGCCATTTTACAGTCTGAATTCTTTAAACATTTCATAGAAACATACAGTATTTTTCCGTAGTAACATTTGATGTTTCTTCAATCTGGTTAGATGATAAATATACTGTATTCGCACTGTTCTGTCTTCATTATTTCATATTCTACTGCCCATTAAGGTACTTGATGAAATGGTCTCATAATATACACTTGTTTGCTTTGACTGTGTTGTACTTCTCACTTCTTTTGATGACATTATCCACTTTCAGTAAATTCAAATTTCTTCACGGTTTTCATCTTTCTTTTTTCTAACATTATATTAAAAAAGGTTCTTATAACACTATGAGTATATTTCACAAAAATGTTCTCTTTTTCAACCATCAATATTTTGTTATAACATTACCACTGTATTTAGTAAACAAATGATTTTTAGAATTTTGTATTTGAAACTTGTACGTACTTAAAGCTTTCACAAAAACACTTCCTTTTACACTAATATTTTTATAGAACAAAAATGTTGTATTTTGTTTGTCACTCCTCTTAAAACCACTTTCTGCAAATAATCACTTATACATTCTTCATATGTATGTACATTTTACAGGCCTGGTATAGTCTTATATTATTGCAACTTCAACCATTCCATGCATTGAATAATTTAAGCAATTAAGTAACTAGTAAAAGTTTTTTCTCCATGTTCCACGTCCTCTTGATCTATAACCACCCCGACCACCTGACCTGTTTCCTCTGAATCTACCTCGACCTATAAAAAAAGGGAGGTGAACAGTTTCAATCACATTTTAGAAGAATGTTTTTAAAGATAACAAATATGTATTTAAATACCATAGTTTGATGATATGTTTGAACTATACTTTCCACTAGGAGGTGTATATAATTCCCTTTTACTTTTATCTTCTTTGCTACGTTTATTTGAACTACTATCATTTCCAAATGTAATTGGTGTATGTCTCTTTTGAGCAGATGAGTGCTTTTCACTCTGAAATAATAATAAATTATATTTCTAACAAAATGCCGTGTACAATAACTTTAATAAATTATAATCAATTTGTTAATTACCTTTTTATCGCTAGACGACGTTTTCCACGAAAGATATATAACACTTTTAAAACTGGGCGGTGAATGAAACAGATCTTTGATCAAAGTATTAATATTATTTGTTGTTTTCAATGCAACAACTTTTAATTGATTCTCTTCTGATTTCAATTCCTCTTCTGTTTTGCCACTAATTGCTTCGCGCAATTTCTTTATATAACCTTGAATACCACGGGCAAAGTATTGTAACCTTAATCTAAATTCCTTGAGTTGTTCTGGATCTTTTATTAAAAATTCTGGTGTTTGTTTGCATAGTTTATGGAAGGCATACATAAGACACTCAACATGACTGAACTGTAGTTTTGGTACCTCAGTTATTTCTGTAGCTGGAGGAAGTGGCATATATGTCTGAAAATAGTAAAAAATTATTATTTTTCATAGAAAATATGATCAAAGTACTATTAATTTTTGTATCAAATTTAATGTGTACATATAAATATTGCATGACACATTTACTTACAATAAGAGTATTGTAAAGTTGTTGTACTTTTTCGTCTGGTTTATCAATCGTTCCACAAAATACAGCCAATTCAGCAAGAAGCTTTAATAATTCCAATTGTACATCTCTACCATCAGGTGAAGTAATTAATGAGAGATGCGGTAAAACTTGTACACAAATATAAGATACAAACCGTGATGAATCTATTTGAGACTGTAAGAAAAAATTGAGGAAATATGTCTATTAATAAACATACAAACACAATAAAAATAAATACATATATTTTGTTCATATCTATACTTACACTGAAGAATGGAAGAGCATGTTTGATACACTGGACAAGTCTATTCCATTGTTCAACATTTGTATGTTTAAATGGCTCAGATAATTCAGCCTGTTCAACTGTAATATCTACCAATTCTTGTTGTCCACTGACTGTAGAACCTAGTCTAGTCCATGCAAGTACTTCCATAATACTATGGAACTCGTCAGCAGTTACATCCTATAAAAATAAAAACTTTATTAGAATCAATTAAAGGATGATACAAAAATACCTACCTAGAATAAAAATCTTACTTGTAATACTTTCTTGCATTCTGAAATTAATAAATCTTCTGGTTCTTTAGTGATAATATCATGACCTATTGCTTTTAACTTTGTTGCTAAGAATTTAATACAACGCTCACGAGTACCATCATCACCATTTATAATTTGACTGAAAAATCCACTTATTGTACCTAAACATACAAATATAGAAATGTATAAAAAGCCACATATATCAACCTTAATGAAATACATGTTTAATAAAAAGTAATATATTTCAAATACCTCTTGGATCAGTTTTCATAAGAGACATAACGCTATTATGAACTACAGCTAATTCAGATGGATCTTGAGCTTGAAGTAACTGAGCTAAAATATCTGCAATTCTGGCTGTATGTTCTTTATTATCTTTGCATAATGCAGGTAAGTCTTTAATAGCTTGTTTCCTTATCTGGAAGTATAGAATTATATTTGTATAACATATATATCATATAACTATTATTCTTGAAAATATTTGTATACACATAATAATATATAGACAAATATTACAAATTATACAAATAATAGTAAAACTTACAGCCATATCCTCATCTTCGCAAAGATCTAAATGAGCATCTATAGCTTGATCAGCTAATTTTGGAAAGTACTTGAAAAACCTTGCAATGAACTGTGATGCTAATCGTTTTTCTTTAGGTGATCCTTTCACTGCTGTAAGAATTTCTAAATATTCTTTTTCATGCTAAAACATACAAATAAAAAATGTTTAATTCCATTACATATAAGTGTTTCTTGTAACTGATTATTCAAATATGAGGTTGAGTTAGTTAAACACTAAAAATATTATAATACGTTTAGAATTCGTAGTGTTTTTAAAAATGTTGTTCTATAAAAAGTAAGTCACGTATTTTATATCAGTAAATGAACCAAACTGTAAAATCTGTATTTAACTAAACGTGCTTATTAAGGATAACCAAGTTCGTATGTTACCTCGGCTAATTTATCTTTGGCATCTGCCAAAATGCCAAAATTTTTATATAACTTCTCAATACTGTCCGTACTCATGTTAAATCTTTTCTGTAATCTTTACACTTAAAGACACAAGATACATAAAAATGATCATATACTTAAAAATCAGTAATCTAGCCGGCCATCCACCACGCCAAGAAACGACAAAGATGGCAGCGATTCCATTTGTACATATATATTGTACTTGAACACGATGTATTGAAACGTAAGCGAACAAACGATTATTGTGGCGCTCAAATCGAAAATGAAACGATAAATATTATTCAAATTACTGTTTAATTAAATATTTTGCTAAAATTTGAAAAATATTCCATTTCTATAAATATAACATGTAATTTCAAAAACTAATATACGCGATGTATTCACAAATTTACTCATTTTACTTATCGTGTTCTGTATAGAAAAAAATGTCGTTTATATGACCCACCTACAATTTTTTCACTCTTATAGCAAAAAATTGTACTTATTTGCACTAATATGTATAACAAAAATATTTCAAAATTATTAATGACAATATGAAAATAAATAAATAGTAATAAACTTTATTTTAATTATTAAAAAAAATGTAATATGGTTAATAAATTTGTTGTATACATATACATTTACGCATATATATATATATACCTAAATATTCATAATGAAAATATGTATAAAACATTTTGTTAAAATTTACAATTTTTCTGTAAGTTCAGGCACAGCTTTGAATAAATCAGCAACTAATCCATAATCAGCTACTTGAAAAATAGGAGCTTCAGGATCTTTGTTAATTGCAACAATTGTTTTTGAATCTTTCATACCAGCAAGATGTTGAATTGCTCCAGAAATACCCACAGCAATGTATAAATCCTAAAAAATATAAATTAACCTGCAAACTATTTGATTAATAACAATAAGAATATAATTGTGAATCAAGCTTACTGGAGCAACAATTTTTCCAGTTTGTCCAACTTGTAAATCATTGGGTACAAAGCCAGCATCAACAGCAGCACGTGAAGCACCAACTGCCGCGTTAAGTTTATCAGCTAAACTGTATAATAATTGGAAGTTTTCTCCAGATTTCAATCCTCTTCCTCCAGATACAACAATTTTAGCAGATGTTAATTCTGGCCTATCAGATTTGCTCAACTCTTGTTTAATAAATTCTACTAATGATGATTTATAATCTCCAGCTGGTGCAGGTTCACACTTAGCATTGCCACCCTCTAAAGGTACTGCTTCAAAAGCAGTACCTCTTACTGAAACTACTTTTATACTATCTTTACATTTTAAAGTTTGAATTGCATTTCCAGCATAAATTGTACGAATAAATGTATCTGCAGCCTTAATTCCAATAATGTCACTTACAGGAGACACATCTAATTTAGCTGCAACCTTAGAATAAATAATTATATACACATTTACAATTTCGCATATCCAGGATTATTTATTACAAAGTAAATTTACATTAAGATCTTAATCAAATTTACTTACTCTTGGTAATAAGGCTTTACCAAAAGCAGTAGCACCAGCTAAAATGTGTGTAAATTTATGCTGATTTTGAGTTGCAATAATCAATGGAGTTAATGCTTCTGGTAAAAATCCTTTAAATGCATCATTATCTGCTACAAGGACTTTAGACACACCATTGGCTTTACTAACACTTTGTGCTACTTTATCACATTTATTACCAGCAACCAAAACTGTTACATCTCCACCAATTTTTTTAGCTGCACTTAATGCATTACAGGTAATAGGAAGAAGTGTTTCATTATTATGTTCTGCAATAACTAACGTAGATTCATATCGTGCCAATAAACCATACTAAAAGAATAAACATTTTTATTGAATGTTGTGTTAGATCACAGTTTTATTTTTTTTTTTTGTTACAATTTATCTACAATGTTTATTTAAAATATTTTACTTACATTTAATATTAGAGATTTTAAAAATATGTCTTATGACATAATGAAATTTGTCTTATTAATGCAATAAAACTTTTTACAATATGGTTAGTATGAATTATTATATTTTGTTTAATATTTTTTAAAGTAAAATTATATATAAATATTAATTATACTGTTAGTGAATAAAACAATTGAAAAACAATAAGAGTTAAAACCTTTGTACTCACTTTATTACTGATTTTTAATGTTCTAAAACACGCAGTGAACATCTTTTACAATAATAAATTTTGTATGTTACTGATTAATAATTAATTCTTAAGTAACACAGTAAAATTAATTTGTATCTAAAGTGCAAAGTCCTTCAATAGATAATGCTCATAATACTTTTTTTTTATTAATGTGTGTATACGTCACTGTAATAAATATAAAAAAAATCATATAAAATTATACAGTGAGGAAATAAAAACTTTTCTGCCTAGTATGCATTTACTTTTCTTAAAAAATCAAACAAAAATTTATTTTTCTCTACAGTCAACGAGCAACAATAAACGCAATACCGATTACAACTATAATAACCAGTATTATATAAATCTTCAAAATGTCAAAAAATTCAATATTCGTAAAATAAAAATTTAGTATTTGTCTTATACAGCGATATAATATTTACAGAAATTATAATAAATATTACAGCATCAAGATTCTATGTTTAGTTCTTATTTAATCATTGTTGGTAATACATTTGGTAACTTTTCCATTTTGGAAACCCTGTCCATAGAATATATTTATCCCTCGTTCATTCTGTCTGTTGTGAAAGGAGCAAAATGGTAAGTTTTTGGTTATGTTACGAAATCCATTAATTATATTAGCATCCTAGTAATTACGCTTAATTAATTGTTAAAAAACAAAAATCTAAATGTATGTAAATTATGTTATGTATTTCAGTCCGCTCACAAAACATTTATTATCAAGCGAAAGCTTGCAAAGAAACTGAAGCAAAATAGACCAATCCCCCAATGGGTTAGAATGCGTACTGGCAACACCATCAGGTAAGAATTAAAATGATTGTAATTTTTTAATGTAGCTACGATATTTAAATAAGTTAAATATAACCACAGGTAACAAGTTGAACAGTAGTATAACGTAATAAAATAGTAGAACTATTGAATATTATGACATAGTTGAATAGTGAAATAATTGTAGAAAAACATGCTTGCACAAAATTCTTTTAGAAAGTATATGTAAATGGAAGACAGATAGACGTTGTGTGCTTGAAAAGTTTAGTAAGGTTGAATGTATCTAAATCCATAAATAATACGATCTTTATTTTTTCAGATATAATGCAAAACGACGTCACTGGAGAAGAACAAAATTGAAGTTGTAAATTCACCATGACATGCATTTGTTTTGCTTGTATTTCTATGCATTAAGTATCGATTTATAAATAAATACAAAATTTAAAATATAAAGTTTTTGGAAAATTACATTGCAATGAAACACAAAATAACAGGATTTCAGTTGTTTATTAATATATAAATAAATGTGTACATGTATATAATAACTTACAATGAACTATTTACTTTACGTTCATGCATACGGTCTATCCATTGTTTTAATAATTCTTCCCCAGTTTTATTATTCAGTATATCTTTTGCATAATAATGTTTCGGTGGTTTTCCTTCTTCTAAACGTACATAGTAATTACAATATCTATACCTTACAGTTCCAGCTCTCATTTTAGCATGGCGCCGAATACCTTTAATTGTTATACCTTTTGTTGCAAAAGATTCAGCTGAAAAATGTAATTCCATCATTACAAGCTTAGCATCAACTAGTAAAATTCGAATGTTCTGTCCTCGAAATTAACAGGGTTTATTTTAAAAGTAATTGTGAAATTTATTAAAATCGCTATTAATTTTATCGTGAAATGCAAGAATGTTAAATGCATAATTATCAAAATTATTCAAAATGAAAAAAATGGTCCATAACAGAAGTTCCTTTGAACGAGAACAATTGTTTTTCTTAGCTTAACATTTTCTGATCTCTTACAGAAAATCACAATTTTTCTTGAACATGATTAATTATTCTACACAAAATTATAAAATTCTGAATATGGCTTTGCAATAAGACCCTTGCATTTACACCTTGATAGTCATTGTGCAACTTATAGTTTTCTTATTACTTCATAGGATCTACTAGCTATATATGTAAACGAAACATTTTATTATTAATGTACTTACCAACCCATAAATTACTTTTAAATTCAATGTTATGGTTTTCCACAGCCAACTTTTGTGCATCTAATATAACTTCTTTCGCTATTGCTGCACCCTTCTTCTTTAGAAAACTTAATTGTTTAACAGCTTCATCTACAGACATACCTCTTACAAAACAAGCAATGTACCACATATTTAGTGGACTATATTTTATATTCTTCCTCATGTGGCATACATACTATAATTACAGTAAAATTTATGAGGTTGCAATAAACGTGTAAAAAAATATAATATTTTCTACAGCAAAAAGCAAACTTACACCAGGCCTTCTCTCTTCACCAGGTTTTTGTGGAGGAAAAATGGTTTCATTATTTTTAAGAAATTTTGAATGGTTTTTTTCTTCATTATATCCAAAGAAAGTTCTTTGTATGGAATATAAACAGCTTAAATTATTTGCACCAAATACGTTATTTGGTATAAATTGTTGCACACACCGTTTAATGTGCTGCATTTCCTATAATAAAAATGTTTGATTAAAGATTTAAATTACAATTTTTAAATACAACATAATACCATCTATTTATTAAATTTGAAAATTACATCAAAACATAACCTTTTAATCCGATCATATACTACTTAACTAATTCAAAATATACATACATTCGATCAAAATAATTAGAAATTCTTTAAAATTAAAAATGAAAGAATTGTTGATTAGCAAGTTCTTTTAAAGAATAGTTTTTTACTATATAAATAAATCAACCATTACACATACAAGAGCAAATTCGGCTTCCCTGTGAAAAACACTTACTAAAAGAAGAGATCTCCATTATCCACAATACTACTTACGTGTTGTCACATTCACAGAAATCAAGAAATATTTATTTTCTCAAATAAATCATCTTAAGAAATGTTTACCGAATTATCAATCAAATTAGTAAAAAGAATAAATGATTCCGTTAAAGTTGGACGATGAATTTACGGTATACAATATATGCCTGTTTAATCCACGCGCGTTTAATGCACGATTCCTGCAACTCTTAATGGTGCATTAAGTGAGCACAGATGTCTTCGTGATTAAATTATAATTTAAACATAATTCGTAGCTATTAGCTCGATATCGTTTTCTAAAGTTCATTTTTAGAAAAATGTTTAGAAAACGATATCGATTACCAGGTCACACCACGTGGAGGTTGCTACGATAATGACCCACCCTAACTCCAAATCCCTGCCACCCTCCATTTGCAAATCCCTCATTTATCGGAAGGATAAATGAGTTCTGACTCTACTTAGCCCGTGGGCTCGCAAAAATATACAAGTTCTTTACCACAATCCAGTAAAGAACTTGTATTACACGCACACACACACATACATTAACTTAATACTAATCGCATTGGATCCCACACACGCACGCTTAACTTATTCTAAACGCCGCACGGTGCCTCTCATTCTAAGATTGCACTCAAATAAACTATGACGAATACAAAAAGCAAAGGGAAGAAAGTTAGAAGAACTTTCTGACAAAAAGAAAAGAAAGTTAGAAGAACTTTCTGTAAAAAAAGGGGACCATTATTTTTCGCCAAGCGAACCTTGCTTTCCATGGGTCAAAGGGTAGTCCATAGTGGCTTACGTAAACCACGACGGCAAAGATGAACTGAAGATACCTTTGGTAAGAACGAGTGATACACCCCAGTTGGCGGAGGGTTTCCCATTTCTGACGCGCGGGCGACTTATACAGAGGACACCCTTGCCGTGATGCCCCTTGGCAGTATGGCGGCAGATCGGGGGGGCACATCATGCTATGAGAGGTGCTCCCCCCGTTCGGCCCCGCCGGGCAAAGAATATCACTCGCGCTACACCGGCACTTGCAGCTCACCTCTACCGCGTGTTCACAGCGCTATGAACCCCCAATGATCCACTTGGGCGCAGAACGATTGACAAAAAATAAGTGGGTATACTACAAGCTAACGCGTACAAAGTTTGAGAATTGAGAAGATGAGTGCAATTTAGAATGAGAGGCACTTACAAGGACCCACCCGCCTTGCCCACGAGCACACTTAACTTAGAATGAACGCACGCATAAAATTAGCTTAAAACTAACGCACGCATCCCTCGATGATCCCTCGATGATCCCTCGATGGATGTCTTCAATGATGACCTATTCATTACCTATAGAATAAATAGGTGTAACAATAAAAAGAAGAAATAGAGAAGCAAACGAAAGATTAGTAACATTGTAATGTTTAGGCATGCACAATTCATGTTAACATTTAAATTTATATTAACATTTTCAGAGTAAAAATAAAATAAACCTCGAGGCCACTCGATAGAAACCTGAAACGTGTGAATAAAAATATGATAAGTCAAAAATGAATCATTAAAATAAAAACCTGCAAATATCTGAATGAAATTAAGATACACATGAATCATTAAAATAAAAACCTGAAACAGACAAATATTATTAAGACACATAAGAAAAATTGAATTACTTAAAATAAAAATTAGGACACACACCATTCACACACTCACGCATACTGTAATACATTCTAAATGCCCTACATGTACCTCTTATTCTAAAATTGCACTCGCATATAAAACTTTGTAAAAATTGCAAGAAGATAGGAAAGAAAGTTGGAAGAACTTTCTTTTAAGTTTGGGGAAATTGAGAAAAAGAAACAAACTATTACTACAGTCTAATATGTAAGTTTAAAAATTGACAAAGATGAGTGCAAATTAGAATAAGAGGTACTTATAATGTGCGCAGGTTTTTCGTCACTTGTCGTGACAAGTGACGAAAAACCTGCGCCCGAGCCCACCCTTCCTCCCACAGCTCGGAATTAACGTAAACTAATGCACTGAACATAACTTACCAAAAATCAAATGCTGAAACATACAAAAATTTATTGTCACGAAAATTTGAGAAGAGAGAACATAACTTACCAAAAATTAAATTCTGAAACAGACAAAAATTTATTAACATAGAAATTTGAGAAGAGAAAACAATGTAAGAACTTACCAAAAATAAAATTCTGAAACAGACAAAATTTTATTAACACAGAAAATTGTGGGAGAGGGAGCAAAACTTTTCTTTATTTCATACAAGAATTTCGAAAGAACAGAAAACGCAATGAAAATTGCGGATTTGAGAAAACGACAGAACTTAGAAAAGAAGAAACACTAAAACAGACAAAAATTTATTAATTCAGAAATTCGAGAAGAGAGAACATTAACTTACCAAAAAATAAAATCTGAAACATACAAAATTTTATTATCCTATAAAATTGTACGAGAAGAAGTGAAACAACCCTATCGAAAAACAGAAAACACAATGACAATTACGAAATTAAGAGCAATCAACAATAAAACAATTTATTCAAAATCAATTCCTGAAACAGAGAAAAATAATTAGCACATAAAATTCGGGGAAATTAAAATCGCGAAGGGGTACACAAATCGCGAAGGGATATAAAGATCTCGAATCTCAAAATTTAATCGCGAAGGGATACAAAAATCTCTAA